GTGCACTTGCCGACAAAATGTCATCGTTTAATATAAAATTAAATGATATAAAATTAAACGGATTTTTTAAATACATGACAACTTATATAGATCAAAATTTAGAAAATCTTCTTCAAGATGATGCTGTTGGTGTATTACAAATAGTTTTTAATCATGATATATGTGAATCATTCCGTGAATACTGTATTTATCTTATATGTCTCAATCCCGATGCATTATTTAACAACCCGCGATTAACTCAATTGGATCGTTCCACTTTATTTTTTATTTTGCAACGTGATGATATGGGAAAATTAAGCGAAAAAAAGATTTATGACTGTCTAATTAAATGGGGGGCTGCACAACACGAAGCCACTATGTTAAGGAGTATAATGACCTGGACAAGTCGAGAATTCGTGATTTTTGAGAAGTCTATTGATGATTTTATTCCTTTAATTCGTTGGTTTACGATATCTTCAAAAGACTTTAATCAAATTCGGTACTTTTTAGAAAACGTCTTACCAAATAATTTATATCAAAAACTTGTAGATTATCATCTTGATCCTAATTCATTACTAAATGAAAAGAATATTTTGCCAGACAGATATTTACCATGTACATTCCTTCTTAAACCACGGCACTTTAAAATTTTTGAAAGTTGGATTGAAGAAGGCGATAAAAATAAAGGCTTTTTTCCCAAATTATTTAATTCAAATACAACAAATGAGAATGAAGAACATTCTGAATCAATGACTTTAAATGTGAAACCTAGTCACTTTTCAGATAATAATCTTTATGATTTTGTTCTACTTTATCGTGGAACGGATAATAATTTTAACGTAGAAGAGTTTCATAACTCATGTGATAATAAAGGTCCAACATTAACAATTATAAAAACATCTAATGAACGTATTTTTGGTGGCTATAATGGTTCAAAGACTGAAAATCATTATATTGAGAGAATAGTATCAAGAAAAAATTTCTTATTTTCTTTTCAGGATCAAAATGATTTTAGTACTTCTAAATTGGCACGTGTTAAAAAGAATAGTTGGGTTTCAGAATATCAATCAGATTACGGTCCATGTTTTGGTTGTAATAAGAATAATTTTGACATGTATATTAATTCTAAAAACTTACATATTTCAAAGTCTAATATTTATCCTAACTTAAAGAACTTTTACCCTAATGAAAAGAACTTTGTTTCACTAAACTCAGCTCATCTTATAAAGGATTATGAAGTTTGGCATGTATTTAAAAAATCCGTTTAATTTTATATCATTTAATTTTATATTAAACGATGACATTTTGTCGGCAAGTGCAC